CCACGAAACGTAGCCTACGGCCACTGAGAGATGATCTACGAGACCTCTCCCTCCCTTCGGGAAGAGAAAACGGAGCCTGGTTCGCAAATCGAGGCAAGACACAAAAGAACCCAGAAGTCCGGAGGCAAGGCTCGCAGCCGAGACTCTGAAACTTCTGAACGAGCACAATATACAATATCACCGAGCGCTCAATCAGTGATGTCTGAGTCTTAAGGTCGGTCAAAAATGGGGTGTCTACACTAATATCTATACAGTGTATCGAGTATGACGTCACTCTTTTGGAAGAGTTACTCCACCGTAGCATGTATTCATACTATATGTGCTTGGCGACCGAGTAATGAGGTGAGAGAATGGATCCATGTTTCCTCACCGTGTGAGTCTTACGTGTCGTTATTGATATGACTCTCATTTATGTACCATTTTGTGACTTTTGACTATGTCATAAGGTAAGGGGTTGATGTTCTGCTACTTTGGTATGTTGCCTGCGGTCACGTATGATTCGGCCTTAAGGGACATCACTGGGAAAGCAGTCAATCCTAAACTAAATGGCATGAGGGCAGAGGGAAGATCATCTAGTATTACACCACTGTTGTATATTCACTGCCGGCAACTCACATCGCTCTGTATGAGAGGCAGATTGAGTGTGAATATATTGCAAGAATTGAGAGGGTCAAACATGCTCTTTTTGAGGGATTAGAGATGTTTTTTGGACCAGTGTAATTAGATGGGTCTGGGGTATATGAGACACTATCTCTGTTCTTTTTGGGTTGATGTCTCTATGCTAGCTCATTTTTAGTTTCTAGTATAGAGCTCCCATATGCAGGTGTTCTCAACAGTTGCACGGTGCAGTGGCTAATACGAGATTGTTCATTTTTGGGGAGATCGAGATAGAGATGTGACAGTGTCATGCTAACTCATGTGCGAGTGAGAGATGTTAGAAATTGGGCGCCCATGTGGCATGACCCTTTTCTAAACCTTTTGAACCTTATCCAAATAAGTTTGAATTTGAATTCAAAACCTATTTGGATAACTACACAGGATATCTATATCTATCATATCAACTGATATGGATAGATGATATAGATATTTTATATATCTAATATAACTGATATGGATAGATTTATTATTATCCTATATATCTGATATAATATGTGATATGGGTGATTAAGAGAAAAACAACGTATGTCGTATGTTTTTCTCATATACTGACTCTCTCCCAAAATATAACGATCAAGAGCCATTTTGCACTGTGACTTGTGTGGGTGATATTCATTCTGTAATATCACTCCATTACTGGGTTAATTGATTGATCAGATTCAAGAAGCACGTGATTTACTCACGAGATTCTTCAATTCAGACTCTGCAGGAAAAGGTATGACAGTAATTTTTCATCCGCTGCGTTTACCTTAGATTTACAATTTCATTAGGTTCTGTTTAAGGTAATATGACCAAATCACACTTTCAAACTTTTTGGGCATGTTTTCATTTTGAAACCAATACACAATAAAATAATAATAATAATCTTTTATTTCATGGAAAAATTTCTCTCTCATTCTATAGAGAAAATCTCTCCCTTATTTCATAGAGAAAAGCTCTCATTTAATGTATAGAAAAAATCTCTCTCTTATTCTAGGGAGAAAATCTCTCACATTCCTAAAATCCTAAATCATCTACCTTACTTCGATATGAAGAAGCAACGCCATGAACATTCATATCGGTCAAAGTGTAAATACTGTGAACATTCACATTGTTGGTGGTTGCTTATGTTTGTATACACATAACAATTGGTTTAATGTTAGTTGTGGTAAATAAATGTTGATATAAACTTTCACATTACAAATATATGCTGGTAAAATAACACATTAATGTTGTTTGCTCTTGTATGATTATTTCTGAATCTGAATATTAACATTGATTAATAATGTGATGGTCACAACACCAATTGCAACACATTACAATGTAATAATTCACAACAAGCAATGACTCCTTACAATATGAATATTCACTTCATCTAATAATCAGGCAAAACTCGTACAATAATCAGTGATATGTAAACATTGACCTTATACAATAACCATGCTACATTGCATGTCATGCAGCCATTACATGCTTCTAATATTAAAGTTCACATCATAAAATACAAAACATTAAAATATGATAATCCACAACAATAATAACTTCAGTGAATGTGAACATTCGCATTCACTTAAATACCCACCTAATAAGCATTACATTGATACATGAAAGTATCCACCTGCTGCAAAAACACAAAAACAAGAAAGTGAACACTTACATTATAATCCCATAATACCACAAACATGAAATAACCAATGATATGTGAAAATATAACTATGTCCATATTTTGCACTACTAATCCTAAATTGAAAATTTTATTGCCATCATTACACGTCATTATAGATTAGACAAGTTCAAAATCACGCCACCAAATATAATGGCCATAAACAATATGCAAACATCTGTCCATATTGATATAATTAACAATATGTGAACGTTCACATTGTTCACACAAATTGAACATTCACAACATTCAAAAAACAGAGTCTTATATGAACGCAGACAAAAACTATAACCTTATTCAACAAAAATAAACTTGCATCTCCATCTATTCTAGAAAATGAAATTGAAAGCAAAAAACAAAGTGTACAATCTTTTATATAAATTCAAACATAAATGAACATGCATTCCTAAACAAAATGATACTAACCTTGAGACGAAATTATCTACTCGTTCTCTCCCTAAATTATGTAAGAAATAGAGCATAAACAAACAATACTAATGTAGTCTTGATTCGTCATCTTCCTCTAACACACCAGCGAAACCCTAGCATAACGAAACAACACCACAATGAGAGTGAAACTGATTCACAATCAAAAGTGTAAATCATAGTAATTGCCAAAATAGAAGGATAGTAAAAAAGAAAACATGTATATTCTTTTTGTTTGTAATATTTATTAACAATAAACATAAGAGTATAATAGTCTAACAAAAATATAAATAAGTTAAAAAAAAGACCTTATGAAATAAAAGTATAAACATATGGGACTAATTATGTTATAAATTTCTTTCACGGACTTGTTGGGTTAGAACACTCCTAAATGAGATTTATCAAAAAAAATCCCTTAATTTTATATTACTAATTCTTCTTCTAATTTAATTATTATTTTTAATATCACAATGAATATTTATTTTATTATTTTATAATTTAATATATATAATAGAAAATTATTATATGATAATTATACTTTTATAAAAACGATATAACTAAAATTATCAAAATACATAAATAATTTAACTAAAATTAATATATATAAGTATTCATGTAACGATTTTGTAGAACGATAGCGCCAATATTATCAAAATAAATAATTAAAACCATAGTTGAATTTAATTTTAATTTTAAATTAAAATTATTCTTTTATAACACACATTGTACCATCAAATATATATATATATATATATATATATAAAATAGCACGTGCATTGCATGGGTCAACTACTAATTTGTCATTAAAATTATGTTCCATTAAGTGTGTACACAAAAATAAATAGGTGTGTTAAAATAGAATTACTCCTATGGTGGTATTCACACTTTTCCTAAAAATCGGACATAGAGACAAATAAGACTTGAACCAATGACCGTGGGTTTAATGATGAAAATTCTTATCATTTGAACAACACATGCTATATGGGCATATGTCTTTATCATTATGTTTAAAATGTTAGACACACATTAAATGTGTGGACCGCTAGTATATATATAATCTATATCCCTATATCACATTTTATTTTTTAAGTCGTCCAACATCTTTGTTTGCTTTTCTTTCTTTTCTTACCATCCAAACAAAAAATGGAGACTCCTCTCCAATTGGGTATCCTAATTGAAGGATGTTGTTGGGCCATCTTTGTTTGCTTTCCTTTCTTTTCTTACCATCCAAACAAAAAAAAAAGGAGGCTCCTCTCCAGTCGTGTATCCTAATTGAAGGATGCTGTGGGGCCTCTGTGGCCTCACCACCGAGCCCTCATTTTCGAGTTGTTCAATGTGTGAGTATTTTAACCTTACAAAAAAATCACGTTGATTAGATATATCGATAATCAATTGATTAGATCACATTTGTATAAATAATTTATTTAAAAACTCATACTTACCGTTGATAGAAATGTGATCTGATCAAGTTGTTATCGATATCCGATCAATGTAATTTTTTTTAGATATGAAATGCTCGGTAAACGCTACACATTGAACATTTCAAAAATGAGACCACGGAGACCCAATAGTGCCCCCTCCAATGTGATTTGGATTGGAGAGAAGATTTGGCCAAAAAAAAAAACCTAATAATAGAAAGAGTAATTAAGGAAGAAGATAACTACATACCCCTCAAAGGGTGTGTGCTATACACACCGTATAATTAAAGAAGAAAATTATATAATTTCATACTTTATGAATTTAAAAAAAAAAAATCATAACCAAACATAAAAAAATCATAACTAAATATCTTAAAATATTATCATAATTTTAAAAAAATATTCATAATTAAAAAAAAAGAATAACATAACTAAAACTGCATATGACATGACGTGTCTATAATAGAATTCTCTTAATTTCTAATATCTGGAGGGCAGATTTAATTCGACCAATGAAGAATCAATAGATAAACACCACACCTACACATGGAGGGCAGATTTAATTCGACCAATGAAGAATCAGTAGATAAACACCACACCTACACACACAGGGTATGTTTGATTGGGTGGATTAGAATATGAGATTGAGATTATTAATCCATGGGTGCAATTATCCCATGTTTATTTTAACATTTTGATTTAGGATTATTAATCTAATAGATAATTAATCCAACAAAGTTAAAATTATTAGTAATAGTATAGAAGTGAAATTATTAATCTAATAAATATTAATCCAATTAAATAGTGAATACTATACTAATTTAATAAAATTATTAATATTTCGCCATTAATTTTTTGAATCAAACATGAACACAGAGTATACATACAGGTGATGGCTACGATTCGATGGAGCCTGAGATCTGGCTGTTGGAATTCACGAAGATGGAAGCAGACACCACCATAAAGTCAGTCTGATCGATGTCGTCACAGTCCCACATCGAAACTTCGACGTTATAGACATGGAGTTTATAAGAAAGAAGAAAAGAGAAGACATTGTCCCTTCGGGGACATCCGATAAAATTGGAACGATACAGAGAAGATTAGCATGGCCCCTGCGCAAGGATGACACGCACAAATCGAGAAATGGTCCAAATTTTTTTCTATCTTTTTGCTTCGACAAATTTGCAGCAGAAGAATCGGAGAGCTAGGGTTTCGTATACTTTTTTGCCTCAATTTCTTTGAGAAATTGGTACAATCATCGAAGAGATGGCCTTTCTTTTTGCAGGAATGTATATGTTGTATGTATTTCGCTATCTCCTTGATGCCGATGACTTCAGGGACATTCTCTTCATCAACAGCACCTGATTAGTAACTGTTTACAATTGATTCTAAATTCATTTTTATTTTTATTATTGTTTTTTCAAATTTAAGTTTAATATCCTCTTCTTCTAGACTTAAAAGCTACTAGTTTTGTTTCAATTTCGTTTGTCCAGAATGAGTGACTTTCTAGGGTTTAAACGAGCTTGGAAAAGGACAAATCACTTCAAAGTTAAACTTTTGTTTCTGACTAAAAGTGGTGAGATTTGGTCTATGGATGGGGTTAATTGTTTCTGAACTTGGCCTCATATTTGGATTCTATAAGACCAAATCTCATCATGCCCTATTGTTATCTTGGATATTTATTTTCATTTATTCGTGTACACATATGCTTATGCATACCCTGCATCCCCTCAAGCATGACGTGTTCACACCACTACTTGGTCTAGTTTAATTTGGATCTGTTTGAACTCTATGGAGTCTCTATGATTTCAATAGTAAGCTCTTGATCTTGAGTTAATTTTCTAGTTGACATGTCAATTTGCAGTTAGTGAAATTTTACCTTTTATCGTACCGCCGAGTATATCATAACATTTCAGCAACTAGTTTAATCTATTGAGCTTGCTTATAAATAATGCACTCAAATTTCAGAATGTCTAGCTTGAATCCTGAAGATGTAGTAGAATAAACTGTATACATGGCATTTCTTAAGCCCTTCTGGTATGCTTGTGGGCAATGTATCAACAACTAAGGTTGGAGTTGTATGCCGTGCACAACACATTTCAATTACAAGGCACTGAAGGAAATCATCAAACGCACCCTTATTACATCTCTCTCTTCTCATGGTGATTCTCTGCTCCCCCCTTCTTTTTTCCTTTTCCTTCACTGTTTCCAACCTTTGCAGCTGGTCATTTCTTCCTCTTTCTTCTGTTTTCGTTGACCATATCAATTTGCGTTTATCTGTAACACATGTTCAGTTCAATCATTTATCTTAGTTAAAAATCGAAATTCCCAAGATTGTTCGAAGGTGTTATTAATTTTTTTTTTCCTATTTTCATTTCTTTCATCACTTGTTGATTCCTATTCTCAAAAAGTAGTTGTATTTGTATTTCTTTCTATAATAAAACTTTTTAAACATTGGTTCTGTTTTGGGTCAGTGAGAAAGCCTTATATTGCGCAAAGGCAAGGGGTAGCATGGCGTATGAAACCATCAGCCACAATTACTTTACAAGCTGGGGGAAACTCAGGCTGATCCCCGAAATATATATATCTTTTCTTGCTAATCCAATACAAGGTAATTGTGTTGGTTAATTATAAAGGTTTGTGATCTGCCTTTGTTTGGGCTAATGTTTAGGTTGTTTAGGATTGAGTCCGGATCATCTGCCGTCTTTTTCTGCGGCTGTCCCTGCATGGACCCTTCCTTTTCCTATACCCATAATAGAATACCGTTCCATACCTGACCAAACAAGCAATCCCTCTCTCTTCTTCTAATTCTGATTCTTCTGAACTACTTGTAATAAAGTTTGCAAAGTTGTGTGATGGAAGTTAATAATATGGGTTTATTGGGTACTGTTGGTGGGGGTGGAGGAGGGTCATCTGGGGGTTCGATAAATGGTGGGTCTATGTCGACGGTGTGCATGGATGACAACCTCGTCTTGACTTCTGAAGAATCTTCTTCCTACCCACGCCCAGATGAGTCTGAGCTCCAATTGGGTCTTGGCTTGAGCCTTGGTGGTGTTGGTGTTGGTGCTTTGAAGTCTAAATCATCATCCTTGACCCTAAACCCAACACCCCGATGGGGTCAATATGCTAGGATCTTGACTTCTCAAGACTTCTGTTCGCCCGCCCCGTGCCTTCTCCATTCGTCGCCTCTCTATTCGCCTCTCTGAAGAGGGGTTAGGGTTCAAAAGCTCAAATGGGGCTGAAAAGCAAAAAGAGAGAAGAAAGGGAGAGGAAAAAGAAAAAAAAGGAGGTCCAAAACGACTTCGTTTTGGATCACCTCATGGACGGCCGCAGGAAAGCGCGGCAGATGATTCGGACTCGTTTAGGATTTGCCATATGCTTTTGTTTTGTTTTCATTATTCTTGGATATTTGTATTCAAATAAAGAATTTTGCCTTACCTGTGTTTGATGTTTTCGCAAACAATCATACTTATTTTTGTTTTCCTTTGTGTTTCAGAAAGACTAGTTATGTATTCAGGGAGTGGTGCGTAGGGCGGGGGAACAATAAACAACAAAGAAGTTATTTTTTAATTTTTAAAAATTATTTCCTTTCCAAAAAGGAGAAATCCATATGAAATTAATGAGTTTTTGTTTTTTTCAACCAAATTAGCTTTTGAAAATTTTTCAGAAAATAAATTCTTAAGTTTCAACCAACAGAAGCCTCCTGCAATCAACGCCACACCTTCTGGTTTGCTGATGGATTTCTTCAGTGAACTTCGGTGTGCAATATATGTGATGCAAATGCCAGCTCTGACACCTAAGTTCAAAATCACAGAACTCGAAGCGTTTGTCTGGCTTTGAACTTTCTGAGTACTTTAGACTTTGTGATCAAGACGGTTTATTGTATGTGTTCATTAAACGTTGATGTATTCTACTAATTAGGCAATTTCTAGTTTATTAGGCATAAAAAAGTATGTTTTGTGCTTGGCACATGCCTAGAAGAACACGTAGTTGTATCAATATGTTGAGTGTGTACGTCTACAATTGTATGGGTTGATTAGGTCCCATTATAGAGAATCAATTTAGATTAACTTGGCTTACACTGAAAGATTTTGATTGTCTACGATGATTGTTTTATCCATATGTTGCTTGCTTAATATCATAAACTGGCTATTCATCTTGTATGTGAATACAGTGTTCTTCATGTATGAAGGTGTTTACTTTATGTGATGAGTTGGGTTGAAATTGTTGATGCGCTTATGGTGTAATGTGAGTGATGGCTGTGTTTGGTTATTAGCATCTCTTTTGATATTTTTGAAGAATAGATTAGAAGAGTTGCCAAAACAAATAGGTCTAAGATCCGACCACATATCTGAAGATTTGCTAATACTGTGATGGAAGAAATTATAAAGATAGGATATGTTGATTCTTATAAAGTGATTTAGCTGTTGACCTTGTGAACTCTGGTTTAGATGATCTTCAGTTTCCTAAACTTCTTTTGATCTTTGTCTCAAGTTTTGCAGTCTGCGCTTGGTCCCCTGTTGCCTTTCAGTAGATGTAAATCAACCCACTTTACCAAATTTCACATATTTTGCAACTTGTGCTTATTGAATGAACCAAGCTAGTTGTGATGACCAAAGTGTGTAGTGCATGTTTTCAGTGGCTGAACCAAAAATTATGTCTAGGGGGCCAAGGAGATTGTGTGAAAAAAAATAAAAATAAATAAATTGTTGTTACATTACTAATAGAGAGTAATTTCTTATATAAGGGTTGTGAAAAAATTACTTTACAATAATAAATAAATAAATAAATCTAACAAGTTTTTTTTTTCCCTTTTTAATTCTTTTCTAAATTCATGAAATATTAATGGAAACCATTTTATTAGTTGACAATATGTAGCAAATAAAAATAAAAAGAAGTGACGTACACCTATTGTATAAATAAAATTGTGTAAACCTTATTGATGCTAAGTAGCATACCAAATAGTTAGAAATCAATTCATTATACATTGTGAAAAATTAATGAAATATAGAATTAATAAAATGATTTTTAAAAAATTAAGAGGCAATCCAATGATACATTTTACAAATACCTATGAATATAGAGGTAATAGTGTAATTTTCAAAAACCTGGGGGTCGCCATGGTACCCCAGTCCCACTATAGATCCGCCCCCCATGTTTTGCATTTGTGGCGATATTGCGTACATTGCAATCAATCTGCCCTTGTATTTCTACGACTCAAGTTGGGATCTATTCATGCTTTTTAAAGCATATCCAATGGGTTCTCCAAAAATTCATTAATGTCAAATTTTAAGACTGTTTAAAATTCACATGTAACTTTGTTGTTAACTTGAACAATAGTTAGCCGACTTGCTAAATGTGGCAACAGAGTCGGAGAGAGAGAGAGATAGCAAAGGGATGCTGAAATATAAATTTGATCATTTTCACCATACTTTTTCAAGCATCTCCACTGCACTTTTTTTTTTATATTATATATATATATATATATATATATAAATTTAATCATTTGGTTTTCTATAAATACACATTGGAGTGGACCAAGCTATTATATAACACATTTTAACACACAATAAAGTAAATGAGAAACAATGGAGGAAGTGAAAAATAATGAAGAACTAGGGTTTTTCTTTATTTTTAATCAAAAGATGCGCACTAAGATTTTTATTTTTAAAAGATGCATGCAGAAAAACTTTGAACTAATATTAAGGGTGTATTTTGATGTTTATTATGGTCATTTTGTTTTAAGGTACATCGTATATATATTATTAAAAGTAGTGTTTTTCTCATATTTAGGTGGAACATTATAAGTATTTTTTTTTTTTTAAAGATAGTCACGTCAGTATATATTTTCTTAATTACATATAAAGTTCTACACAAATCCAAATATAATTTAAATTATACTAACTTTACCTATTTTATATGGATTCTATTTGACAAATATTTATTTTTCATATATTTTTTATTGTAAATTGAGATAATCCACAAATCTAATACCAATTTTGCGTTTCATATTTTTCTTCTTAATTCTTTAAAGGGTATTAGGATTGTTTTTAATGCTAAATTGTCTTCTTCTTCTTTTTTTTCTTGTTATTTTTCCATACATTATTCTATACTCAATACCAATTATATATTATGGATTTGTCGTTTAAATTTTATAGTGATTCTATATATTAAATAATATTTCATTTCCTACATAATTTTAAATAATCACAACTTACAGGAGGAAAAACCTGCATAACAATGATACTTGCAAGGAATCTCTAAAATTTGGATTTATTGTTTGAATTACTTTTTCAATCGTTAACCAGTAAATTCTTTTATGTTTTGACATCATATTATAGATAATTAATCACTTCACACACTGAGATATATCTATTGTTGAGATGTTTTTATTATTTTTTTCTTTTTGGGTTTAGATATTGTTATGTGATTTTTTCTTAGTTAGTCGTTGTTAAATTTCCTTTATATAGTTGATATTTTAATTTAATTAAGAATATGTATTTTATAATCTTATAATTTAATAAGTATATATATTATATAAAATCACTATATGATAATCCAACTATAACATATTTATATTTAATTTTTTCAATAATTTTTATATAATTTCTATTTCTACATATTTATTTTCCAAATCAATACAAAAGAAAATTAAATAGTTAGGATTACTTTTAATTTTAGGATCATTTTTCAAAAAGTCATATTCCTAAATGTTATATTCCATTTAATGCATTTTCTTTTTAAAAAATTTCATTAGGTCCTGTTTAAGGTAATATGAACAAATCAGCATTTCAAACTTTTTGGATGTGTTTCTGTGCGGGGAGTTTCTGTGCGGGGAGTAAATATTCAGGCAAGCACGCACTTCTTTCTTTCAAGCTCCTGTCTGTCCGATCGACCTACGAACACAACGGCGGTGAGCTACCCGGCGGTGTGTGGCCGGAAACCCCTCCGACGATCAAGTTAGACACACACACAGGGATGGAGAGAGAGAGAGGACTGAGTTGTGTTTAGTGTATCTCTTACCAAATTGTCATGCGTCCAGGCATGAGGGGCGTAGACTCGCTTATATACCTTCTGCGCCCCAAATCTACTCCCATTAATTTCTCGACACGTGGTGCTGCTATCCCATCTGTCGGCATAAATCCAGCAATCACCACCTAACCAAACTGTTAGGATACCTCGGCAGAGCTCGGCAGATCGGTGGAACCTCTTCGGTTTCTCCTGGCTGCGCTGCGCGGCATACCTTAATGAACCACTCGCCAAGCTCCTGTACAACCGAACTCGGCTGCATTCCAGCAAGCCGAGCTCGAGGTAGGTCGAGCCGGTTAGCCGTCGGTCTTCCTGCCGAGCTAACGCATGAACCGTGGAACCCATGGAGACAGGCAGACATCTCGGTCGAACTCCCAGTAGACCGACTTCCGCACCAACAAGCCAAATAGCTCGGTCCCACATGCCCTGTGCCTTAACCAAACAAAAACCCTTCCGGACAAGCCCAAGCTACAACGGCCCAATTGTGTTCGGCCCACAATTTGCCCGGCCATTACCACGGCCCACTTCAGCTCATAAATCTCTCTCTCAGTTTCCATTTTGAAACCAATACACAGTAAAAAATAATAATAATCTCTCACTTCATAGAGAAAATTTCTCTCTCATTCTAGGGAGAAAAGCTCTTCCTTATTTCATAGAAAAAATCCTTCATTTATTCTATAGAAAAAATCTCTCCTTTATTTTAAGGAGAAAATTTCTCACATTTCCAAAATCATAAATCATCTACCTTACTCTGACGTGAAGAAGTAACGTTGTGAACATTCATATCGGTCAAAGTGCAGACACTGTGAACATCCACATTGTTGGTGGTTGCTTATATTTAATTGGTTTAATGTTTGTGGTGGTAAATAAATGTTGATGTGAACTTTCACATTACAAATGTATGCGGGTAAAATAACACATTAATGTTGTTTGCGCTTGTATGATTATTTTTCAATGTGAATATTAACATTGATTAATAGTGTGATGGTCACAATACCAATTGCAACACATTACAATGTAATAATTCACAACAAACAATGACTCCTTACAATATGAATATTCACATCATGTAATAATCATGCAAAACTCATACAATAATCAGTGATATGTAAACATTGACCTTATGCAATAACCATGCAATTATTGCTCTACATTGCATGCAACCATTACATGTTTCTAATATTGAAGTTCACATCATAAAATACAAAACATTGAAATATGATAATCCACAACAATAATAACATCAGTGAATGTAAACATTCACATTCACTGAAATACCAACCTAATAACCATTACATTGATACATGAAGGTATCCACCTACTGCAAAAACACAAAAATAAGGAAGTGAACACCTACATTATAATCCCATAATACCACAAACATGAAATAACCAATGATATGTCAAAATATAGCTATGTCCATATTTTGCACTGCTAATCCTAAATTGAAAATTTTATTGCCATCATTACACATAATTATAGATTAGATAAGTTCAAATTCACACCACCAAATATAATTGCAATAAATAATATGCAAACATCTGCCCATAATGATATAATTAACAATATGTAAACATTTACATTGTTCACACAAAGTGAATATTCACAACATTCAAAAACAGAGTTTTATATGAACGCAGACAAAAACTATAACCTTATTCAACAAAAATAAACTTGCATCTCCATCTATTCTAGAAAATGAAGTTGAAAGCAAAAAACAAAGTATACAATCTTTTATATAAATCCAAACATTAATGAACATGCATCCCTAAATAAAATTATACTAACCTTGAGACGAAATTATCTACTCGTTCTCTCCCTAAATTATGTAAGAAACAGAGCATAAACGAACAACACTAATGTAGTCTTGATTCATCATCTTCCTCCAAAACTAACAAAACCCTAGCACAACGAAACAACACCACAATGAGAGTGAAACTAAATCACAATCAAAAGTGTAAATCATAGTAATTGCCAAAATAGAAGGATAGTAAAAAAGGAAACATTTATATTCTTTGTAAAAAAAAAAACTTATGAATTAAAAGTATAAACATATGGGACTAACTATGTTATAAATTTCTTTCACGAACTTCTTGTATTAGAACACTCCTAAATGTGATTTATTAATAAA